ATAGTGACTTCCTGTATAAATGCTCTTCCTTGAGCATGTGTTGCATCATTGCTGTGAACCAGCTTTCTGGAGCAGATTTGCACTGCAACCAATCAGCTTCTCTGCCTCATTTTCAAATCTTACCTGAGCAAACTGAAGAGAGATGCTGGTTGGTTGCCATGGGCAACTGCTGGAGATTCTGTCTCCTCCAGTTTTGATAAATTCCCCCCAATGTGTGTAAGCACAGCTGGTTTAAGTCCCTACCAGAAGTGCATGTTACAGGGTGACCATGTAGGAGCAGAGTTGGGAGGCACTCGTCACTTTATACCAGCAAGTCCCCGAAGTTTTCAGTAAGATGGGAAAGAGTTACAATTTCTGTGAGATTTATATTTTTATCTGTGATGCCACAGGGGAGATTTACCCTACCTCCTTGTACCTATGACACCTCTATAGGAAATAAGATGTGTGGGAGTCACCGAGACAGGAAGGCAAAGACAAAATGAAAGTGTTATTAAAGTCAAGTGACAAAACATATAATCTTGTAACCACACTTACTGATTCTTATACGCTCTCTCTTTTTGTTCTGAGTGCTAGCTGTTCTGCTCAAGATGCCTTTCACAAATTGCTGCAGAAGACTGCCATTTTGTGGGTGGTTACATTCACTTGTGGGGTCTCAATGAAGCTCCATCCTAGCCACTGCAATGTGTGCACTCCCCCCAGTGACAACAGATAGACATTCAATGCGTGTTCATGGGATATGTAGTCCCGATGTCACGACTTTAGATAGTGAGTATGTGCTCATTCCCTGACAGGAAGTTTGGGCAAGCACTGCGACCGTGAACACAGCATGGGGCATGGTAGAATACATTTTTAGAACCAGTGTGGAAAGAAACCAAAAAAAAAACAAATCCTGGAAAAAACACGTTTAACCACCCGCTTCTAAAAAAAAGAAAAACCCCATAATTATCTAGCTGGTTACTGAGGGTAGTAGCCTCAGTTGTGCTCTACCTTTCTCTGCTCCAGCCTTTGTATATCAACCCCAAGTGTTCTATCATTTTGACAGGAAATGTCTCACGGTACTTGGGTATACTGGGAACTGGGGCTGTCCTACAAAGGTTAAGGCCTGTCTTGGCAAGAATACACACAAGGGTGGAACATTGTAAACAGCAACAAATGAAAAACACATCAGTAACTGAAAACACCGCTGTATCTAAATCTAAAATATACATCATGTAATAGGGATATCCTAGAGTTTCATGGCAGCTGAAACCCGGACAAAAGATGTCAGGCAGACAGGGGCAGCCAAAATTACTGGCCCCCCACTGAAAATAGTCTTGACTGTGATATTTACATTAATGGGTGGCTCTGTTTACATATGAAAAAGGCCCCACTCATTTTCCCAAAAAAATTCCGTGTGTTGCTAGAGTGCTCCGGTTTCGCAGTGGCAACCCCAGGATATCCCCATTTCTATCCCTTTTTGAACATGGCCATATATAAAATATCTCTTTGCAAATTTCATGAAACTGGGCCTAATGTATGCAAAAATGTGCTAACAAGACAATATTGTTTTGACCTTAGCAACCAATAAGTTGAATATTTCATTATGTTACAATTAGATATGTACATGGGAAAGTCTCCCATAGATTATATTGATGCAAGTTATGGACATGTTACTGTGGGGCACACAAGCTAACAGGATCATTTCCTATACTGTGAAGAAAAGGATGCAGTTGGCCACTGGTTAAAGAGATTTTCCAGGAGGCTAGAAAATCTCTGCATGAGGTAAGCACACCAGTATGTTATTGTTCATAAACCTGGCCTTACACTGCTTGAGGTTCGACCGAGTCCTGCCGACATGGCTAGAGTCCAAGCAGTATGTTGCCTTGCCCGCACCACCCAGCTATTATTCAATTGACTTTTGATGAAGGAGCTAGGTGGAAAACTGTTGACTTAAAAGTGACTGCAGCCACTAATTGGATATTCCCACAGTGGCCAGTGACAGCTGTCACAATGCATTAGCCCAGCAGGGGGGATTCGTCTATCCACTTTGTTTAGCATGGATGCAGGATTCTGATCGTTCAGTCAGTTTAAAGCTGGCCCAACACTGTACACATTTCGGCCAGTTCTTGATGAACCAGAAGATCAAATGAATATTTTGGGGCAATCAGTGAAGACAGCCAATCAGTTGCACCTGTCAGAATGCAAAGAACACAGTAGGAGATACGTCCATCAATGTTTTTCTGCGTGGATGGAGGTGTCTGTTAAATTTGTTCGTTCAGCCCACAGGTTGGGTGAAAAAGATACTGTATACCAGTGAATGGCCAGCTTAAAGATGACAAGCCGCTGCTGAACTGGACTGCAGATTACCTGGCATATGCTATATGATTACTTTTTCATATATACACATATGAGTTGGGCCCTCCTTACCACCTTGTCTTGATTTGTATTGTGATTGTAATGTCTTCCTTATATTGTAAAGCGCTGCGCAAACTGTTGGCGCTATATAAATCCTGTATAATAATAATAATATGAGTTGATCCCTTCACAGCAAGCATTGTCTTTGAAAAACATTTATCCTCTGACGAGTTAATTCCTAAATAGAACCAGTCCACCTATTCATGTACCCTATGAGTTCCTGCTATCAATGATGTTTATTTTGGTATAATCCTAACTGTGAGCTATTAATCATGTGCGGGTCACACCTCTTTCCCATTCTCCCGCTGGTTGGCTGCACTGCCCGCTGAACTGACAAATTGCAGGTTCACAGTGAGAGTTTCAGTTAGGATTTCTTTTTTTCTCATCTCTCTTTTTCTATTTTGTGTAGGTGTGCTGTTTACTTTGCCTAAGCGTGTCTAAGGACCACACCGTTGTTATGTACTGATTAGCTTTTATTCTAGACAGCCTGTGTTCTTCCCACCCTCTATGAGATCAGCTCTTCTGTTTATTTTATGTTACAGTACATACAGTATAATGGATTTGTTGGCAATATACAAGCACAAGCACCATGTTCTAGATTATACATGGTATCATAGATAAACTAGGGGCGGGGGAGGCAGAGCAGCAACTGCCATATTGTAAAGCGTCACTATCACTTTGGCCATTCAGTAAGTACATATTAAAGTGTGTGTTTCAAAAAACACATATACAGTACATATCAGCAATTCATGCACATTTTTGTAGTGAGTGGTGTCAGCTCTGCCCTGTCTCTTTTGTTAAACGACTCATCCACTCCTACTCTTCACAATATAAAGGCTAATCATTCTGCAGTCCAAGATGAGACCTAGGAGGACTCTTTAAAATAGTGGAGAACATGTGCAATGAGCACAGAACAGCTTTGTACTTTTCAGAAGATCAGCATGGTTTTTTTGCACTTCTACAGTATTTGTTAAACCAAAATAGCAAAATGCTTCCAATGGTATATTTTACAGACCAAAGGGGAGAAAATAGGTGACAATCATTTAAAAAGTGTTTGAGTCACATTATTTACACTTATGGGATAAGGCAGTGCTAGGCCTTGTTCACACCAAATGCAGAGCAGATCTGCTCAGGTTTCTGCACACGCAGTGGGTTGTGGCGCGTTTTTGATGTGTTCCGGAATATATAATTTTTTTTTTTTAAGTTTATAATGGGCTTTCAGTGTGTTCCATGGCATTTACATGCATTTTTGATGTGTTTGCATGCGTTCCAGAGCAGATCCAGAGCAGGTAAAATAGGGCCTGCAGCAGTTTTTTTATCGCTCTGGAACTGCACGCTGCGATGTGAACTGGAGCAAAAAATACCGTTGGAATACATTGGACGCAGTTTTGATCCGGTCTGCAACTGCTCTGCACCTGCTCCGCACTTGGTGTGAACAAGGCCTTAAATATGGTTGCTATGAGTAGCTCCATTGCTCTGTGCCCGTGACATTATAAGGTTATAATGTCACGGGTGTATAAAGCTGCATCTTAGTGCAAAAGCTTCCTGTACATATATTATTTCAGGGAAGCTTGGATGATGTCATCCAATATTTGCATAGACTGTGCACAAACAACCTAGAATATCTTACATTTATCATCTCGCCTGAATGAGGGAAATTGCATCCACAGGCGGAACCTACAAAGCTTTGAACAGGGTTCCCTTATGTATCATATAAGATACAAGGCCATCTGCAACCTGCAAGGCCATCTATGTTTGTTTGTTTGTTTGTTTTTTAAAAAGGTGTAAGTTGTCACAAGCAGAAATCCTGACACAGGCGCAGGACTGCATGGTTTTAAAACCAGTATCTTTAGCACCTCATAAAGTAAATAAGTGTTTTTTGGGGGTCAGTTTAGTGTTGGGGGTTTTATAGTTAGTGTTTTATAGTTGGTTTTAGGTTAGGGTCCGGTATTGGGCAATTAAGTAAACGGAAACCTGTAATGGGAAAAAAATTGAGGTTTTCAGTGTTAACCTTCCCTTCTGAAAATGCTGGTTGCCTGGCTGACGTTTTTGTTTTTGTTTCCGTATACTTCAGTATCGGGGTTCAGACTTTCCTGATCTGCATACTTGTTCTAGGACAGTATGTGTCAGGAAGAACCAGTGTTAATATACCTTTAGATCTCAGCACAGATAGTCGCTTTTGATGTCCTTTGCATTTTCCAAGTTCTGTTTTTTAATCTTTTCCCTAGTTCTCTGTTATTTATCATTAGAATGTACTGCCAAGCAATCCTGCACTTTATCTAATCATTGACTATTTGCACAACGCCTTGTGCTAGGGCGAAGTTGTTTGTACCTAAAGCACTATGCAATGGCCACTTACTCTGCCTTGAAAGGGCAATCTAAGTATCAGATCCCAAACTCAATGTGAAATTTAATTCCTGTTTTTTTCCCTTTTTTCCCTCAAATACCAAGGCAAAAACTTTGTTCCTGATAAAGTTTAATGTGCTTTTGAACTGTACAGCAAATGCCAAATGTTAAGCCTGCCCCCTCCCTATCAGCTCCACCCATACAAGCTAATTACAGGTGCCCTTAGCAAATACCTTCCAAGGAATGTAAATGGGCCTTTGCTACTGACCAATAAACATATGAATGAGCTGCAGACCTTGTGACTGAGAGTGACTCCTCCACCAAAAGTGCTTTGTACTACTGACCTGTCAGCCAGGCTTGAGAGGTATGGGAATGCTTATACATTGTAAGGTGTGTTGTTTTACAAACCCATTTCCTTCGCTACAGTTTTTATTTTAATTCTATTTTTTTACTCTCTGCGTTGTATTTTTTTTTTCTAGGTATACTTCTAAACTAAAGGAAGATTTATATTTGTTATATTTATTATTATTATTGATACAGTTATAGTTGCATACAAGGAGCTGCATTAATACTACCGTATTATAGTGTAAGGGGTTATTTAATATTTTGCCATTTATTTATAATTTTTGGTAGATCGATTTCCAGCAACATCCTTTATGTAAATGCTTTACGTGTTAAGTAATTTTCAATACGCATTACAATGCTCTCTGTCTTATTGTGGCAATTTCCTGATCCTGGTGCTGAAATGATACCATAATCTTAGATCAGACAACCTGCAACTCTCTGGAGGTTGTAGTTCTGTGTGATCAAACATGTCTTGTGACTTGCAGCACAAGCTGGGACTTGTAGATCTACCGGTGCTGTAGAACCACAGGTTGCCAAAACCCTCCCTAATCTGGAAATTGAAGTTATGAATACTATCTTGATGTATATGTATCACAGCCTGTGGTTGTTTGAATTATCAGAACAATATACATTTGTTTTTCCAGTGGTGATATAGAAGTCATTTTGTATAGCTCAGCATTACATAAAGCATAGCAACATCATTTCATGCCATCGTTTTGATGTATAGAGCTTGCAGAAACTTAATAATGTATTTTATTGTCTTCGTTTCTGTAATTGATTGTTAAGTTGCTAGGCAGGTAAGATTTTAATTGTCAGGGATAATGAACAGTGACGGGTGTTCTGTAATTTAGCAGGTGTAGAATGTGCAGTGGCTACTTTTCGTTGAACAGCATACTTGGTGTATGTTCCAAGCTTTGCAGTCAAGTAGATGTTCTTGTTTAGTAGCTTTTTATGCACCACAGTTGCATACATAATCCTATTTACACAGCTTGTACCAAGGCTAGCTAGACATTAGATGTTGGTTGAATGTGCTTGCAAAATACAATCAAAGATTTTTTTTTCCTGTTGTTTAATGAACTTTTCAAAGTTTACATACAAATAATGTGTGAGTTGAAACCAAAATAAATATGCTAATTCACATTATTTGCTAATTTCATTGATGCCCTTATACCTAGATGAGCAGTTTGTGTTCAGACTTAATTTGATCACCGTCAGTTACCATAGTTGACCAAGGATTTATCTTATGGAAAAGAGTGGGAGGAACAGGAAAACCCTAATGATGATGCATATTTTTGGGGAAAACAATAGTAATCAAAGAAGGTTTTTGTATCATTCTCCCTGAGACTGGCCATTTGCTGTGGTCATAGGCATCAGCTCAGGAAAGTGACATCTCCTGTCTAAGTTAAAGGGCAACATACCCCTACTCATTAGTGATTTTGTAAACGATTATATATTGTCATTCGTACTGCTGTATTAGCGATTGTAATTCAAGTACATAGTTCCCTATGTAGTACATTGTGAGTCATGGTATTTTATAAAATCACTAGGAAGGTATTGTAGGTAAAGGTTATTGTGGTCCACACCGGCACTTTTTCAGGTTTTTCCTAAATCATTGGCTATGTATGAAAAGAAAAAGTAGTTTGGTTGAACAGGTTATCCAGGTACCTGTAATTCATGAGGCATGTTTGTCTTTGGCGTTGTTTTTACATGGTGTTGCACTTTACGACAGATAAGATATTGAGACTGATAAGAGGGCTGCCTAATCTGAGGTGGAGTAAACTTTCTAATCTTCTAATTAGTTTCAATTCTCCCTTCATTTGATTAAACCCATTCAGTGGTAAACAATCTGAGATTTTCTGTAGTGTTACCAATAGGAGCGCTGGACAATAACTGGTGCTTTTAGAGAGCTCCTATACCAGTTTTCATATAAGGGGTTAAGTGGGACAATGTATGAATTGTTCTCAAGTCAAATCCCATTATATGTCTCCCCTGACGCTGCCCTTCTAGACTGCAAGTTGTTTGTTGTCGTCTTACTCTTTCAACTTCACAGCAGGTTGGAGAAGATTATTTTCAAGGCTGTTCTGTTAGACCCCATTCACAACCAGCGATTTGTAGCACGGTTTCAGCTAAAAAATTACTCAAACATCAGCTCAATGTAGCTTGTCCAATGCATTTCAATGGAGCTGTTCACATCTCACAGCTCAATGTCGCCTGTAGCTTATCGCTCAAGCTTGTCGCTCGGACATGACTGATTTTTCGGCAGATTTAATTGTCGCGCTACAGAAGTGTCACTTTTGCACAGAAATATAAGAAGGAACATAAGCAGGAAACAAGAAGAGGAATTATGTCACATCAAGACCGCTTTTGATTGGTTACAGCCCAATGTAGCAGCTACAAACTCCCTGCCAAAAGTCGCAAATGTACACTGTAGCTCAATGTCGCTCAGCTCAAAATCTCGCTGGATGCAGCTCAGTGTGAATGGGGTCTGAGGGATAGTGGAACCTGTGTTGCTGTGCTTACACCTGTGGCTATCTGGCCATAGACATTGGCATATGACCATTTTGTACCCAAGCAGTCTGAGCCTCTGAAGACACTTTAGGGCTCATACATGCATGAATTTCCTGGACCAAACCCTCGTCAGCACTCTTATTAACATCAGTGCCTGTGGGAAGGTATTGATGTCTACAACACCAGCAACTATTGCTGCATCTCATATTTACTATAGCTTCGTGAAGCTGAGCACTTGGGGTTCTGAAAACTCAGTGTTTTAAGAAGCAAATCAGTTACCCCATTTTGAAACTCTTAGGAAACCATGATGCAGTATATGTTGATTCCAGAATATTCATAGAAATCATAAAAGTTCCCACTTTTTGAACATTAATGGAAAATGTGAATGTGACATTTATGAAACACAATGCAATACAATAAAATGGTATTGCCTTGTATTTAATAAAGGTCAGATTTCACATTTTCCATTAATGTCCAAAAAGTGGGAACTTTTATGATTTCTATCAATATTTTGGAAGCAACACTATGGAACTGTGATCGGCCTCATTATATTGTGATTATATTTATATATCTATGTATGTGTGTGTGTGTATATATATGTTTAGACTCCACCTCATAGTTCCCTTATTTGAGAGAGTTTAGTAGTATGTTGATTCCAGCCTGTATCTTAGACACCTGTTCCTCTCTATTTAGGCCAGGTTCACATCTAGGCGTTTTCAGTTTTGTACGTTTTTCTTTTCTGTGCGTTTTTGCTTTTAAAAATGCACCTTTCTCTCTGCATAGAGATATATCTATTGAAGCCAAAACCACACGGCATCCACCTGCAAATAGCTCCTACATCTTTTTGCGTGACAGGAGTTTTCCTGTACGGAAAACAATGCTAAGGTGTGAACAGTCACAATTGACTTGCATCGAAATGCATGTTTTGCGCGTTTTCACACGACTAGATCCGTGCATAAAAGCACTCGGGTATGAACCAGGCCTACATCAGCAGATGGCTTGTCGAACATGCTCAGAGTATAACTGGGTCTTTTTTGGTACCCCAATGTGATTGTCCACACCTTGGTTCCTGGTACGATTGTTGCACACAAATTGAAAACCCACACAATAGGATGGAGATATGAATGTGTTTGAGAGCGGTGGTCTATCGCCAGCAGTTTGACATCCCCAGTCCTTCCCCTGTGCAGTCACTACATCTCTCCCTTCAGCAGGTAGTGTAAGTGCTGATGATTGGGGAAGTAGCTATGACAAGGCACTAAAAAATGGCAGACACGTAAAGTGTTTTATTCACTTTTTGTATAGAGTGGAGGAGGGTTAACGTGACACTGAACTCAATAGTTAAATCTTAAAAATGCATTCAAGTACCTTTTAACTATTAACAAAAATCCAGCTTATTTGTGCATCACTCATCTGTAGATTCTCAAATCATCTCTGAATCGGTGCTGACAGTGTCCTTCCTTCTGGAGGGTGGCTACTTTTGTTCCCCATGGTTCCACAGTATAGTAACTATTGCTCTGAGCTTGCTCCTATGATGGACTACAATCTTATGTTTAGTTTACTAATTTGTATCGAGATTGTAGTCCATCACAGGACTAAGCTTGGGGTGGTGGCTACTTTACAACACACACAGGGACCTCCATGGAACTGCCACTTACTGTATAGTGGAGGAAACCCCAGATGCCATATCATCCAGTGAAACATTATGCACATTTCCCCAAATAGTGGGACAGATATTGTCCATCTCTCAGATGCATGAGCTATTGTTCAGGCAGCCGACTGCCTCCATTCATGCTAATCAGCGTAAATGCAGGAATTTCCACTGCCGGTTATTGTATTCAGGCAGCTGCCTGAATACCCTGGCAATTACTGCGTCTGATAGGATGCAGTCACCATTTGGCCAATAATTTTCCACCCAGATTTTGAAATCAACTTTTGTTGAGCTGGAAGGTGCTGACGGTGCCACAGCAGATATCTTCTGAAAATCAAGCATTCGATGGCCATCAACCACCGTTTTATGTGCTTGTTTGTTGAAACAGACATCATTTTATTGTTGGATGTAACATGCACATGCAACTGCCATCTAATGTCTAATTTTCTATTATTCTGACTTAACACATTACCTCATCTGCCAAATTAGATTTTTAACCTTAGAATGTTAGGTTGAGCATGTCCAGGAAGAATGGCAAGCAGTCAAAGATCTATCTACCGTATGCTTGTTCTTATTTCCACCCCACCTGTGCTGTCTCTCCACAGCTCAAACAAGAGCACCTTGTAACACGTACATGATCAACAGTGTGTTACCTTTTCTACCAACCATTACTCGTTCTCACATATGAGTTGAACACTACACAGCATATTGAGGCAACCAATTTTAACCATGTTGCTTACACACTTTAGGCTGCGTATGGTCACCCATTTATTGTATGTTTCAACTCAAAATGGGCAGCATATTTGTGAATTTTCAAGACAAATATATCATTTTAGTGCTGGACATGCAAAATTTTCACAGGGTGTGTGCTGCAATTGAAAGGGTTAAA